TTTTTTTTTTTTTTTTTTTTTTTTTTTTTTTTTTTTTTTTTTAAGATTCTTTAAAGCTATTTAGAGCACTTTAAATACAAAGAAGCTGAAAAGGACTTTCAGTTCGCTGGAAAGGGTTGGTGCTTAATGCCAGAATGGGGGAGAATCGGCCCAGCTGAATCAGCCAGTGTAACCATTGGTTTCGGGGGAAAGATGGGCTATGCTGAATGCTGTTTATGCAGGGAGCAGTAAAGGGCACCGGCCATTTTGGGCATTTTATTGTTGCTGAGAGTGGAATCGCAAAGGAGAGAACTACTAGGTGAAAATCTGCTTCTTTCGGGGACTCATCATTGTTTGCACCATAGTTGTAAGCTGGTGTGTGCCTCTGTCTCTTACTGATCTCTATGTGTGTGGCTCAGATAGCAAATTTTAATTCTTCTTTCCTCCCCAGATAGCTTCTTAGTGGTGCCTTTTTGACTTTGAAGCAGAATTCTAAATTAATTGTTTATTTTGTTAAAGCACTTCCTGAGATGATAAATCAGTCTTTCAAGAAAGTAAAGTACTATWTTTTATACATGAGTTCAAAATTATTGCCATGCTAAGAGATGACTGCAGACAGAGGATGAATACATTGGTCAGTAATTTGCTCTTTCTCCATGGAAAATTAGAATTCTATTTGTTAAACTTCCATTTGTCATGATGATGATGATGATGATGATAATAATAATAATAATAATAACCACCAAACTAGGGGATATGCTGGTACAGATTCAGCAGCTGTTGACCCTACCTGGCTAGCTCTTCCTTGCTGCAGTAGCACCCATGTAGTTACAATAGTTACAGCTTAATTACCTAGTGTGTTGTTGTTTAATCACTGCTGATTCTGACAATCATTTGATGTCTTCATTACTGCCTTGGCAGTGGRTGCTGAAAGCCACTCTGGCTTCAGATGCAGTCACAAAATATCTCTTTTGTACCACCATACAGCAAGATGTCTTTTTGCCTTTGTAGCAGGACTAGGACATTATTCCTATTCCTCACAACACACAGAAATCCAACAGTCTGCTTTTATTTGGTTTGGGGTTTTTTTGTATACTGAAAAGTTAAAAATTATGGTCCCTTGTGTTTGTATTTGAAACTCATTAAGGTAGGTAATTCTGGTTCTCAGCATTCATTTATGGAGGCAGGCAGAGGCTGTTTATGCTGTTAAATGCAATGGAGAAAAAAATAAAATCACCTTAGCTTCCAGTTCACAAATAATTCAACTGGAATTAGATATTGTCACTTGGGAAAATATGCTGGAGGCAGCGTGGATGGTTTTCTGAGAAAAATCATCCTTGCACAAATGACAGAAATGAACTGCAAGCAACCCAGTGACACAGCTATGGCCTGGACAGCCTCCTCTGTGCCTTGCACAGCTTCAGGCACTCAGCAGTGAGAGTTCAGRGCAGAACTCGCCAAAACAATGGCAGATGGGAGGAAGGATGGACAGGTTGGGCAGCAGCAAGGTCTGAGTYACTGAGGACTCTTCAGCTTGCAAAGACTTGATTGAGAGGGGATGAGATACAACTCTGTACAATCATTGATGGAAGGTGAACAGGGAAGAGTAGATGAATCACTGTTCTCTTAACACAGGGGCTGGGAGGACTTGCTGAGATTGCCAGGCCTAGCACAAACAAAAGTGCTTTTTTGTATAGGCCATGATTGGACTGTGGCACTTGATACAGGATGATCTTGTAGACCCCAAAAGGAGAAGTGATTTAARGAAGTCATGGGAGAAGTTCACTGAGGATAGGCCTGTTGCAGGGGTTTGAAGCTGATGATCTGGTTGCAGCTTCTGGGTTTGGAGTGCTGCTAAGCCTGGGAAGGATCTGTGCCTTGCTGCAAAGGGTCTCCTTCCTCTGCTGTCGGTTACAGCCCCTTCTGTTCCTTCCCTCTTTGCCTTACTTGACCCAATCCCCAGAAATTACATTTAAAACCCTTTGGTTGCTCTGTCTGGTAAGAAATGTCTTAACATGGCTGTGACAAGGAATCTTCATGACAGACCAGTGACCTTAGGCCAATAATGCCTAATTCACCAGATGAATTCACTCTCCTGTCACTGACTGCACTACTACTAGTGTTTGCTTTCCATGAGTGATTTACCTTTACCAGCTAGTGAGAATGCTTGTGAGGGCTTTTTTTTTTAAAGTTTGCATACTTGAACAAAGAAAAATAATCAAACTTGCCTTGTTGAATCTCTTACCTCAGAAATCTGATCCTCTAGGTGAGCCAAGGAATGGAAACAACTCCATGTGACTCTGTGACCAGACACGAGGGCCTAAATKTTCAACACTCTGCTGTAGTGCCTGCTATTTATTACTCAATAATATATAAAAAGTTTAGTCTACATTCTGAATGCAGCCAGGAAAAGGGAGAACAATATTTCATGCCTTAAATTTCTCTCCCCATCCCTTAAACGTGACTGAAATGGTTTTGAGAAGCCAAAACCGATCAGTTTTCTGGCACTTCTTCATGTCTACTGATTTTCAGTTACCACAGAATTTACAGTTCAGTGTTTAAGAAAAAAATTAAAACAAAAAAAATTCTTTGGACAGCAATTATCATCACTGTTGCTGGTAGCATTGGCAGAGCATAGAGAACAGGTGAAAGCATCATCAGAACTATCAGCCTATGRGTGACTTCCTCCTGAGTGTGTCGGTGTACAAATGAAATGGGGAGAAATAGGATTGGCAGTGGTGTTCCTTTGGTTTTGACAGTGTTTCCTTCAGCTTCTCTCTCAGTAAAACAGCTGCTACCAGGTGAACACCTTGTCAGCGACACCCTGCTTCAGCATTTGATGCTGTGGGTGGGTGGTGGTCTCTGTGAGAAGAACAGGGTGGTCAAAACCTGCTGGACTGCATTTGAGGTTTTTTTTATTTAATAATGCATTTGGGATTTTTTTAATTTAATAATGCATTGGGGGCTTTTTTATTAAATAATGCCTGTGAAAACTTCCAGAGGGTCTCCTTATTTTGTGGCCTTAGTGTAGTATTTGTCAAGGGGAGATGGGCCTTCCTTCAAAGACCAGTTTGGGTTCAGAGTCCAGGATGCTTGGGATCTGTTTTTCCATCAAGAGTCTTCTTCCTTGTGAAAATATTCTGGGTTTAGTGGCAGGCAAGGAGTTTGATCTGGTGCAGTTTTTTTTTCCTTTAAGTAGTTTAATATTCCTGTTAGAGATGAGGACATAGACACAATGTCTGCTTAGAGAAAAACCTGCACAGAAAGACCAGGGCCTCTGTGTTCACTTTCTGGGTGATGTATTACTGATGTCCACGAGAAGCTGGTGCACTAAATCTCAGCTGCGTTTCCATGTTCAGCTGTCTCTGAAGTCCTGAAAAGCATTAAAATGCGTAACAGCAGTGTTTAGCTTTGGTGCTCATTAGAGCAGCACAGAACTAATAGTAATATTGTTGTAACTTGACAAAGCCATCTAAATCCATGCATGTTTTCTTGTGAAAGCTTCCTAAACATGCAGCTAAATCCCCTAAAAAGCTACTAAACGGCTTTGGCAACCATTAGCAGAGCATAAGCAGGGGAACTCCTTTCAGTAAGTGAACAAACAGAGAAAATATGCTGAATAGCCGGACAAATGTGTTTCAGCTGGCTCTTTCATTTACAGATATAAGGGAGCAGTCAATATCAATCACTGTTTTCCCTGTTGCACTGGAAATCACAATATCTCTTTTCATTCCACAAGCTCCTTTCACCACAGTAATGTGTCTTTAGAGTGACATTGGCATCAGTCTGTTTCCGCTGTCTGAAGTCCAGAGAGCTTAAAAACACATTGCGGGGTATGAGACCTAAACCCTCCTCCCCTTCCACACACCCCTCTCCTCCAAGCCTCCTGTTGGAATTAATTGGTTTTATTTCTTTCCCAGTGCAAGGCTGAGAAAGAAAAGTGCCCGCAGAGCCTGGGAATATCTGCTCTTGCAGTTTGGGGATGGAAAAATGTATCATTGGTGGTTGGGATTTGAATTTATCAGGTGTGGTGGGGAGTTTAACATGAGGTGATATGATTAGCAAGTTAATTTGCAGCATGCTGCAGTGTGAAATGAAATGTAACTATGATTTGAATTTCAAACTATATCCTGTTTCTTGAATGTCGTAATCGCCCACAACCTCATTTATTTAAAAAAACAAATTGGGAAAACTCTATATGTGAGTATCTGGTATTTGGAGTTTTTTGATGTTCTTGTGTTCGCTTTCTTCCTTCCAAATAGTAATAATAATAATAATATTAATAATGTGTGGGTTTTTTTATAATACTAATAATGAGTGGTTTTTTGTTTTTTTTTCTTGTTTCTTTGCAGATAGCAGCAGTCTGTAGGGAAGCAGCTCTCCTAGCTCTCCAGGAAGACATCCATGCCAAATCTGTCACAGGCCAGCACTTCCGGAGTGCGCTGACGGTCGTGAGCCCGAGGATTCCCGACTCATTAATCCAGTTTTATGCAGATTACCAGCAGCAAAGTGGACTGCACRCGCTCTGAAAGGCAAATTAATACATACCCCATTCACTGTGTGAATGGCAAATTTCCTTTGTAAAGCTGTCAGAGGCCAAAGAGTTTTGTACTGTGAGTGAGCGGAACATCCGGAGTTAACTGAGATGCAGAATTGCTGTAATAAAAATCCTCGTGGATTTTGAGTGTTGAGTGTCACAAATATTGTCATAAACATTAGATTTTACCATTTCAGTGGTATAACCTGCATTTTAGAAGTAGTCAGATTTCTGGTCTAAGTCAGTTTATCTCAGACCACATTCATGTATCCAGAAAATTCAGATTCTGATAGTTGGATGGATTCGTGGTCCTAAAGAAGCAACATATGATGTTACTGCCTTCATTTGTTCCTGCCTTGATCACAGTTTAATCCCAAGGACCATCCTGAGGTGCAGACCTGTGGAGTGGCCTCACTACAAAAAATGCTGAAAATTATTGTGAATCTTTTGATTTATGCTCTCCAGTAAAGCTGCCAAACAGGCTTTCCAAGATAAAGTTAAGGCATCCGGATTGATTGCAGCCAAACATTTATCTTTGGTCTTTACCAACTCCTTTTTAGACATACTGGCAAGCAGGCATCTTAAAAACTGCCCACCCCTTGACTTACCTGAACCCAGTGCCAGGTGCCAGCAAAAGATTTCTGTTGTTGGTGTTTATTTCCATCAAAATAAACAGGAATGTTGATAAATAAATAGGTATTTTAATTGAATACTAATTAATGAATAAGGAAACCTCCTTGCAAAAACTGTTGTGAATGACCATGAAATACTTCAGGGACAGACAGATAAAATCTTCTCAAGTTGTTTCTTCATTATATCATCTGTTGAAACAATAACAGGTCCTTGTGGGCTCTCTGCTCTTGCAGTTAAGCAAACTAATATTTAGTTTTTTTCCCCGCAGCAGAAAGATTGAGCTTTTCTAGTCCAGACATAAAAAGTTGAGGGAAAGATTAACCAAAACCRACACAAACTTCAACAGCAAGGTAATTTCTTCACCTTGATTCTGGTTTTCCTCTTTTTATTTAGTTCCACAGCATCCACATTTTGTAGCTTTTAAACTGAAATCTATTATTTTTAAATGACAGCTTTTTTATTACTGTTATGCTAACCTATTGTTGCTGTAATTAGCATTTAATWTTATTATTGCCAACAAGGATTAGAGGATGAGGAAAAGGGGGTCTTTATTTAGTTCAGCTGATGTGTGTGAAGCTTTTCTGTTTGACTCTTTAATAGTACAGCAGATAGAGGGAAGGGAAACTGGAAAAGTTGCCTTGGGGATCAAGACTGCATTTGAAACTACTTTATCCTTATTTTCTAATTCTGCATACTCCAACTTGGACCTCAGAATGTGAACCATTCATCATAACCATTAAACTTTTGAGGTTTTCAGAAATTAAATGCCATACCTTTATCCCCTGGCACTTTACTCCAGTGTCTGCTKCTGAAGGGAGGAAAGAGAGACTGCAATTTTTATTGCCAATAATGAATTCTATTTGTGATTTTGTAGCCTAAAAATAACACCACTCCAGGTGATGTTCAAACTAGATGGCCAGTCCCTGGGAAGTGCTCAGGTTTATTGGGAACATGCACCAAGGARTGAATGTGAACTGAGAACCTAGAAGAGAGGCAGGTGGGAACTGGCTGCCTTTTCCCTTTGTGGACTCCTGCTGCCCATTGAATTTTAGGACATGAGGAGAGAATGCTGGCCCATGTCTGCTATTTGTRCCTTRGGAAAAAATCCCATCCCTGCAAACRTTTATCCTTGTACCTGTATGTTACCACATTTATCCACAGGGTCCCAAATCTCGTGGTACACACCTGCATGCCTGAAGTGCTTTTAAATGCAGGAAGCTTCCATTTTTGTGCTTGGGTTTGTGAAATTTGATTTTTTCAAAAACTAAGTTATTCTTTGAAAAAAAAAAAACAATTACAAATTTGTGGAGTCCCTAGGAGGTGTCTGTTGCTCCCAAAAAACTGTTTGGAAACCTATGCCAGTCTGATGCCAGTCAGGTACTTACTCTGTCCCAAGCCACTGATAAATTGAGATTTAAAGGAAGGTATACTTGTTTCCCTGTCTGTTTACTAAGGACAGATCACTGTTAATGTGGATAAGCAAATTGAAACCCACTTATCAGAATTCTGGAAAATGGCTGAAAATTCAGTTTTGTTAAAAACATAGGGGCAGCATAGCCCTTTCATCATGCAGCTTGGTGAGAGCTGAGCACCCTGAGCCTCTCGTTGGAACTTACTGATGAGGGCACTGTAGGACAGAGCACTCCAGGACCATCTCCTGTCATTTACAGGARCTGGTTTTAGTTCAGAGCCAACTGCTCTCAACGTGTTCTGCTGAACACCTCGTGCCTTTGCATCGACTCAGATCTCTTGCACTGTGAGCCCATAAAAGCCCAAACACCTCTGTGTTACACAGCAGCTCAAAGATAGAGGCACTCTCTCTTCTGCTGGATGTTGTTGTTGYGTTTCCATGAGATTTGATTTTAATAAAAGCATTTTGAGGCTCAGTGAACCTCAGCGGAGAAGACATCTGAGAAGAACATCTCTRTCCCATCCTCTCTTTAGCTGCTTGGACATACTTCTTTACCTTCTTTAAAAACATCGTCTTTTTCCTGCCTGCTGTTATCTTTTGGAGCCAGTTTTTGGCCCAAATACTGCTTGAGTTGCAGAATTGTTAACATTAAATCAACTTTTCAACATTTCAGGCACATTTGTTTAAATACAAAAATCTACCTTTTTCCTCCAATACAAACCTCAAGCAAAATGGCATAAAATGTCTTTTGACAGTTTGGCCAGAAATGACCAGTAGAGTATTTATGATCAAAATGCAAAATTGTCTTCACTTAACTTGAAAAAAAGTTCGGTCCTGTGTTCTGCCTAATGCATGAAACAGATTTTTCACTGCAAGTTCGATATACAGTTCTTAATCCTGGAAGAAAGAATGAGGTTTATTGTGGATAATTTTCCTGCAACCTCTGAATGAGAGCAGAATGTAAGCTCAGGTTCAAGGGCAGACATCAGTGACAGAATAAAAGAAACTTATTTCAAGGATAGTTTTTCAAAATCATTGAATTTAGACTTGTCAGCACTTTCAATTATTATATCCTTAAAGTTGATTTTTGTGGATTCTGTATGCTGGCTCTTCCCTTTCAGCTTCTTTACTCATTTTAAATGTCAARGTGTGGTGATTCCCCTCTGGAAGCTGGGCATGTGCCAAACATAATGCTGCTGGAACTGGGCACCTATGGAAGCCTGGGAGTGATGTTTCCTGGTGAAGCAGGGCTCAGACTCTGCTGATGGGGTGTGGAGAAGGGACAAGTGGAAGCCAAATCTGGTGCTTTGCCRTGTGGTGCCCAGGAAGATGAAGTTCAGTGATGGACACAAGTTGGTGGGCAGGAGAACTGTGGGCTGAGAACTGTCCCTCATTATTGCACTTAGGGCCATGAGGAGCCTGGCCTGAAGGATTTTGGCTGTTTCTGGCTCTGCCAGAGAAAGCAACAGATGTGTGGGTGAGCACTAGAAATTAGTGCTAGAAATACCCATGTTCAAGGGTTGTGGTATCCTAGCATGTAGTGCTGGAACTTCGGAGGAATTGGACCTGGAAGAGAAAGAGTCACCTGTTGGAAGGTGTCACAACCTTGGCAAAAGGCCCTGAAATAATTAGTAAAGAACAGGCACAAAGACCTTGCCTTGCTTCCTGTGATCCCAAAGTTGGGATAAAAGTGCATGTGCTTGCATTCACACTCCGGAGCCTTGAGATTACTGCTGGGCTGATGCGGTCTGGGGCATGGGAAGTGGTTTGCAGTGGGATACATTTAGAAACTTGCTTTTACATTGTGACCCTTTTGTATTTGTATTTAACATCGTTGCTACGGTTGTAGGCAATTGCAGTAATTTTTGTCTCYTGGGAATGCCAAAATCTTTGGCTTTTGCTGATGCCCTTTTTGCCTTGACATGGAAGGCAATACCACGGGTGGTCTGATGTGTGCACTTGGGTAAGGAGCTTTGCTGAGGGAGTAGGTGCAAGAGGCAGAATTGCTGTTGTGGTATGCCATGTTTTGCCCGTCTGGCAGGTCAACATCTGGAAGACAAATATTTCAGCTGAAACCTACTCCTAATCCTGAGCTTTGTGTCCACTCCTTCCACAAGTGCTCCTGTTCATTTATTAACCTCCTCTGCTGAAAACTCAGCCGCACGTTTTCACCAGGCCTTTGTGTGTTCTGGGTTAAACATTTTAAACGGTGTCATTCTTCCACGCAGACCTAAATCCAACAGYTCCAGAGGCCCTGATAGGAGAAGGAGATGTGTGTTTTCTCTGTTAACTGGCCTGCCAAGGACAGGAGGGATGAGGGGGAGAGAGCCCCGCTGTGTTTGTGTGGCAGGACTCCAGCRAGAGCGCAGGTGTTGCTAGAGGAGGCAATGGCAACCAGATGACATTCCTTCCCCTTGGAACTAGCATGGAGCCATTGCTCAAACTGACTGTGGATCCAGCAGCTGGACTCAATGATCTTAAAGGTTCATTTCCAACCTAAATGACTCTGTGATACTCTTCCAACAAAACTGAAGGCTCGCGTGCTGTCTGTGTGTGCCTGCGTAAAATCCATGGCAGTAAAGCTTGGGTTCCTATAAATAAAAGATTAGGGGAGTAGAATCACTCTTGGCAACCATTGGGAAGACACTAGAAGATGGTCCAGACAGTGATTTGTCCCAGCTGAGAGCTGAACTACCTTTCTGGAGGTGCTGAGGGGGCAGCTGATGTCAGGAGGGGTCCTCAGCACTTACCTAGAGCAAGTACCTTGAGGGAGATGGAAAGAATTGAGAGCAGCAACCCTCAATATATTGAGAAAAATATTTTATCAACTTGTGCAAATAGATCCTGTTTGCATAAATGGTTCTGGAAAAGCTGTTGATCTCTTCCTYTCTCACCTGTGTGTGTGGCATTAACCAGGCACCCCAGGGATTTTTTTATCTCTTTTGCTAACACTGAGGAGTTTTCACATCCCTGTTTGGTAAAATGGCTCTGCATCAGCCAAGTGTGGAAAGGGCTTTGATAACGTTCAAGGTGAAACACTTGTCAGCTCTCACTTTATCCAGGAACGGATTATCTGGGCTGTGGAATAATGAGGTCATGTCTTTCCTCCACACCGCTGGCAAGAGCTTCGGATTTCACACAGGGGCAGCTGCTTACACCGAGCCTGCTCTGCTYTAATGCCTTTAAAGCTACCCTGCTTCCCTGTCAGCGAGTTCCCCCCAAACTGAGGGGGTGAAACGTGCTCACACAGCCTTGTCTGCAGGGTCTGTGAGGGGGGGTTCCTGATTCTTGGATCACTGTGCTATCCCAGAGCTGGGTGGGATGTGGGACCACAGAATGTGAGACACAGAGTGACCTGAGCATTGCTACTCCATCTGCAGTGCAGGAATTTGGAGCAGGACTTGTGGGTGGGTGGGCCAAAGCCATGAAGCTCTTTGCAGGTGTCCCATCATCAGCTTGCAGTCTGAGTCTGCAGCTTTAAAGCAGAGCTGTTGCAGTGAGAGTGGCCATGGACATGAAAGATCCCTAAAGCACACAAGTTGTGGGTGTTAAAGCCTATGGGTGCTTAAGCAGATTAGCAAACAAACAAATCCTTTAATATTCTGGAATGCTTCCTCACCACCTAAGTAGGGATTATTTCACCAAGCCAGCAAATTCTATCCTTCTACCTAGTGTAAAGTCTGCCTTTCAGATAACTGTGCTTTTGGGTCTTAAAAAAAAAGGAAAATCTGAAAGTATATTGAAAATGTCTGCGTGGATTTCAAGAAAACCACAGAAATGGTAAAGGGAGCTGTTAAAAATGTTCAAGACTCTGTGAAAACTGAGGTTGTTGCAGTGCTGGCAGTAGCATATGTAGGATGCTACACTGCAATGGTTCCTACAATTTTATCTTTAATGCTTGTTTTACAAAACTCACTACCACTTTATGTACAAATACGTGACACAATTCACCCACCACTTTCTCCTTAGTCCTGTGAAAATCTTGCTTAAACTGTCAGCTTTCTATCTGAAACATGCAGAAACAACCGGTTGCCTCGGTCTGATTCCACTTCCAGGCTTTCATCATCTGCGATTTTGGTAAAAAGCTGCTTTTGTTAATGTGTAATGCCTCATAGTAACCGGTTACACTTTTACTACAAAGGGGTGTTTTATTTTCCCGAGGGATGAATAGTAATCAAGGATCAGCTGGTAGTGCCAAGTGCCCTGATAACACAATTGGCTGCATACAGCTTTGTTAGGCCCCTTCCTGCACTGGCTGGCTGGGGAGACTTCACAGAAGATGTTGGGAGAGCTGTTCTTTACTTTCTTGGCTGTTGCAGAGCTGGATTTTGGGATCACTTTGTCAGCTGGGTGAGGAGGTAAGCGCCGGCTCCGAACACATGAAGCCCTTACTGATTAAAAACAGCAAGGGCAGGGTGGGCAAGGGGATAGATGGAGAAAACGTTTGAAATTAAACATGTAAATTAGAAGGATTACCCTGGAATTAATCACTGACTGATTTTCTAGAAAGGTGGGGTGGGTTGGAAGGAGACAGAAAGTGGGAATATCKATTCTAATCAGAGTAGGGGCTGATGTGTGTTATTTTGATGCTGATTTAGGTGAGCTGAAGAAGGGCTGCAGTCACCCTGGCCCTGTAGTAGGAAGTGTCTCCYTGCTAAGCACAAAGTGGAGTCTGGCTTTGATCTGATTAACCCCATCAGCACTGGAGTAGCAGGTGTGTTTCTGGAGCTTGACTCTTGCAGACACTTGAGGTGCATACAAAGTGGCAGAGATTACTTCAGAACAAAGAAAGGTAAGGCATAGATTCTCCTCTTCTGAATTTTTCAGAAATTTAATGTCCAGTAGTGGTATCAAGGTTGTCCCTTTTCTTAATGAGAAGAGGAAAAGTTGGGGAAATAAAAAWTCTCATAAAAAGCAGAGAGGAAGAGAAGTTAGTAGAAAGCATGTGTGAAAAATTTCCTCCTCTCTTCTAAATCTGCTCATTGTTTATTCCTAAACTCCACAAGAAAAATAATGAGATGAGGAAGAAAGAAAACCCACAGTAACAATAACAGGAAAAGCATCTTGGAGATGGCTTTGCACAAAGGTGGGCTTAATATCCTGCAGTCAGTTCTGTTAGGATGGGACTTAGCCTGTTTTTTTAGGAATACTCAATATCCTTAATAAGTGCCCTGTAGTTTTAAGCTGGGTTTATCCTACTGGATTGTCTGGGGACACAGATGCTGTGCAGACTGCTTTGAGATATCTGATTAAAGGATAGTATATAGAAGTTTTATRTTAGCTCTAAAATTCCACTGTTCTATTAATTATTTCCCTCGTGACTTCAATAGTAGAGTGTGTGGAAGGAAAATAATGGTGGTTATGACTTGCTGAGAGCCTCCTGTTGTAACACTTGTCTTAAGTGAAGGCTGGAAASAAAACTCACATCATAGCCTCAGGTTTTTAACCTCTGCAAAACATAATTAACTATTTTGRAAGGGTAGTTGGAGGGTTAAGCTAGGAAGGACAAACTGGTAGTRTAATAACATCTATATTAAAAATAAAAAATCCCAACCAACACAGATGTAACGTGTTATATAATCTCTGTTAAACTTGCTCTGGGAAACCCTCCAAGAGCCAGTGTCAGTCTCCATTTTGTACAAGTCTGTACATAACCTTTGTAAGAATTTGCGTGAAGCTGGGTGGGGAAACAGAGAAAGACAAAGTTAGARCAGAACGTAGCCTGGCCAAAGGCTTTCTGTGATTGTGCATTCAGAGCAGGGGCAGAGGGAGGTTTGCTCCTTCCCACCCAGCCATCCCCTGGGTGCAGGTGCTATCAGCCTGTGTTTGTTGCTTACAGATTCAGCAATTAATTTAATGASTGCTAATAAAAAATGTCTAGAATAATAAGATATTGTCCATGCCATAGAGGTAATTTGTTTTCCAGGAGCTCGGTCACTGCCTGTCTCACCATAGATGGTGCTCACTTACCTCCCAGCAGAGAGTAACTTGGAACAAAGTGGTTGGAAGCATGGTGTTTGGATACAGGGGGAAAGGTGCTGAAAACGGAGGAATTGTAGTAATAAATCCTCTTGTGAAAYGTGAAAGAAGCTTTTAACACTTTTCTGACAAAATGTCAGTCTGACTGTATTGATCCAATCCTCCTGCTGAGCTTTTGTCAACTTCTGTCATTCCTCCTTCCCTGGAATTGCTATCCTAGTCAGCTCTTCTTGGGACACCTTTGGAAGTCATCTCTCTTAATACAGGCATTGTTGTGCTGCTTCCTTCCCATTCCCTGCCAGGAAGAATTGTTTTCCTCTATGCAATTCAGCAGAGCAGCCACTGGTGCTGAAAATATTGATGATGTGGAGGTGATTTGGGACATGGCATGTTTTCTCAAGCAAACAAGAAATGCTGTAACATTCCTAAGCTTTGTTTGAGCTATCCTGTCATGAAATACACTCAGAAAATATTTATTCAGGCTTTTTTTTTTTTCTTTTGGTCCAAAGCCTAAGTTTAAAACAGAGSTGATAGACCAACTGTCTTCTGCCTAAGTTACCTTTCACAGGAGCAGTAGACCTGGTTTAGCTGTTCCTCAAGGAGCAAACAGGGTATAATTCCACTTTTMCTACATCTCTCACATTTACTTTGCATCTTTATAAACAGAAACTAGGATATGGGTATCTGAGTGCCTAACAGCACCTGGGAAGATGGATGGGATTTAGAAAATGCATGCCTTGGAAGTTCTCAGCTCTCTGCTTGGTTTTCCTGACACGGTCCTTCCTTTCAACCTCTCTTTTCTTTGCCCAGAGAGGTCAGATGATAGGCATTCTCCCTTCTGCCTTAGAAAGAACTCTCTGAGCAAATGATTCTTTTTGCGTCTTCCTAAGGAGTACTGAGCACTTTTACTTTCAAGCAATTGGCACCCTGAAAAATTAAGTCTGCAAGAGCTAATGAGTCTACAGGAGTGTTTGTAATTGACTCAAAGTTGTTGTTTTTTCATGTGGCAAGTTTTAAAAAAACAGCAAATGGTTTTGAAAGGTAATTCTTGACACCAGTCCAGCTCCAAAAATGTTGTTTTTCATTTACTTCCCATGTTTCACACTGGTTGTRTGTGATGAAATATGAGTCGTGCTACTGCTGAGCTGCTGTGCTCTTGTAGGCTTGTGGTGAGAGATCTTTTCCATGTCTTTTCAACCAWAAAAGAGTAAAAGAAAGGTGTGGTCTTGGTTTGTTTGTTTTTCCCCTATACAATACCTGCAGCAAAGACTCAGAGTATGGTAAAATATACTGAAAACTGRATCTTAGGTGCATAAGGTTTAAATTTTCTGGAAATGTGACATTTGGAGGAGAATTAGGAAAGTCATGTTGGTTTGCTGTGAAAGTGGAGCGGTGTTTAAGTTCTAATAGATTGATGTTTAGATTTTGATAATTACCCTCTGCAGAGCTGAGCTCCAGCCAGGTGGTGACAGCTATTTCACTACTTTGAGAGGTATGGACATAAATAATAGCTGAGCAGCTGACCTCAATATCTGCTGAAGCTGAAGATGACCTTTCTTSRATRCTCTGAGGTCGCTTGTCTTCCATGYAGAAAAGATTAGAACCCACTTGGGAATTTTGTCAGGGATTTTTTTTTTCTTTTATCTAATAAACAGAATAGGGAATTGCTGCAAACACTGAGTTCAGCCAGGCAATGATGTCCACAGTTCTAGGCTAWTATAAAACATGTTTTGTATTTTTCARCTGGGCACACTTGGCATTCTTATCTTTATTCAGATGCTTATTTTAGGSTGAATTATRCTGCTGCAAATCTATGGAAAGGGCTGTAGGCAACAGTGCAGTCCCTYCCTTGGGAACMCTTCAGTATTACAGTGCTGCTCCAAGAAATGTCACCTTGCAGCAGCATCACTGCAGTGTTTTGGAAGGTYAGTGAGAATGCTGCTTTAGAG